CCTTGTATACAACCCCATTTTTGTTAAAATGTACACATGTATTTATTTATGCAAAGAAATAAAACTACAGCCAAAGATTCTGTGTGATGATCTCTGGGTGGGTGGTGGTGGAGTTACAGGTGATTTTTATCTTTCTTTTTGTCTATCTGACTTCCCTAAAGTTTTCTAGAAAGAAAATATCTTACAAATATAAACCCAATTCTTTCTCTTCCCCCAAGTCAGGAGCGCTCTCTCTCTTCCCTGTCTCCCATTCCATGGTGTCCCTCTCTTCTGACATCTGTCAGGCATATTTCTTCATGCCTTGACATCCCAGGTTCCCAGGTCCCAGGGGGAAGGCCCTGGATTACCCACCCTTGCCCCACCCCTACTCTACCACTGCCCACCACAGAGGCCTTTCACAAAATCAGTGTGCCAAAAGGCGTGAATGAAAATCCAATATGTGAAAATCGAAGCCAACTAAGGAATGTCTATTAACATTACAAAATTACCTACAACAGGGATTCTTTGGATGACAAACTCTTCTAGTGCATTTAAAATATAATTTAGTTGATCAAATTCACTCCTTTGCAGGAATACCTACAGCATAAAAAAAGCATCCCATGCACCAACGAGTCTCCTCCATGTTCTTTAATATTTTGGGGACCTTTCTACTATGAGTATACTCTTCATCCCAAACTGAACTGGACACTTTTTAAGAGCAGACACTGTGAAGCTTCCTTTGCCTGGATCTTTCCACAGTGCCTACTATACACAGGGCTTTGCGTGTGGCTTTCCCATGTGCTTGGGGATCCCTGGGGACAGGCCGGGGGTCAAAGCGCTGTTGCCCAATGGGCAGGAACTGACCTGGTTCTTCATGTGCCCAGTGAGGGGCAGGGACCGGGGGACAGCTCACCTGGCCAAAGGCAGCTCGGGCCTGCTCAAACCCTCCGACCTGCAGCCGTTTCTTGAAGAGGTCCAGGGGATACGTAAGGGTCTTACTGATGACTCCAGCTCCACTGCCACAAAGCAGGTTTTTGAGGTTCCCTGAACCAGAGAAGTGGGATTAAGGGAAAAAATGAGAGACAACTAGGGTAGACAACTTCAGAGTCATGAGGTCTAATCCTCCACCATAAAACAAAAGCCCACAAGCAACCTTCATCTCAGAGGAATTTAATCCAGGAGAGAGAGATTCAGACACAGCCACACTCGGCAAGAATGACAAGGGACAGCACTTGGTCAGGCTGGTGGCAGAAGGGGTGCGAGCCTTTACCCCGCCAGAGGCAATAAGGGCCTGCGGCCGGGCTCCGAAGTGGGACTCAGTGCAAGGCCTGCCCACCCTCCTCCCCATGCTCCCCAAACAATACACACAACCCAAACCAGGCAGTCTGCAGGGTGGAGCTCTGACAAAAATGCAAACCATGAGCCATAGTTGGAAACAAATGTCGATGACGCCACTGATGGGTGTGGCAAGAACTGGAAGAAGTAAAGGCATCTGTAAGCAGCTGGGTTTGTTTGTTTTGTGGGCTGCATTACAGAGCCAGGTTCAGAGAACTGGGGGGGTCTCAGCTTCTGACAGGAAAACTTTATTTCCTCCGTGATTCAGAACGAGATGTTATGGCCTGGGAGTGGGGTGGAATGGAGACCCAGGTTCCCTTCGTGTGAGGGCTGTCTCACCGTCTTTCCTCCCTTCGGCTGGCATGACCCACTCATACGCATGCTTCAAGGAGCTGTAAAAGGAGAACTGGAACCCGGCGTAGGGGAAGATGGCGAGCAAGGTGGGGTTCAAGCCTTTGTAGAAGACCAAGGGGCCTTCGGTCCTGTACATGGTCACCACGGCATCTCGCAGGGATTTATAGACCTGGACACCACACATGCAACTCGAGTGAGCGCGGTACGGGAATTTAAGCCCATATCATATATTCCCCTTCATCTAAAAACCCAGCTACCAGGAGCATTACTTTTCCTGCCAAGAGGACAAAGAAAATGCTGGACAAAAATCCCCAGGGTGGAGTTTCCCAGCAGCTCCTCTGCTCGCTATTTATATGACTGATATATCTGCCTGAGGGCATAGAAGTACGTGTCCAGAGACGGTCACTGCAGCATCCTGCGGAGCAGCAAAAGATGCGATGTCCAACCTCAGGTGGCTGCTTACATCAGTTATGCACACACACTCACAAGAACACAGTGTAGCTGTTAGAACAGGATGATGCAACCTACATGACTGAAAGGGAATAATCCCCCAAATACATAGTTAAAGGGACAGAGCAAGATGCAGAAGAGCGGGTGTAGTGTTTGTGGAGGAAACAAACTGTATGCAGAGATCATCCCCCACCAAGGATACCGAAGAAGGAGGAACAGCGATCATCACCTCCACAGAGGGAAACGGGGCGGCAAGGGGTGGGAGGTGAGCCAGGGAGGAGGGAGACTTACTATTACCATTTGATGTTACTTGGGTTTTTTGCCATGTGCATATATTTAACCTTTCTGAAACTGTCAACAGGCGATCTCTATGCAGGAAGACTACAGGCCATTGGTTTTTCTTAGCACCCTTCTATTAAACACGTGTTCCTCACAATGGACCACAGGGGCTGACTCTGCCCTGCCGTGGGTACAGCGGAGCATCGCCCTGAGAGGGGGTGACTGAAGGAAAGTCCACACAGAGCAGGGGAGACCGCCAGCCGCTCCTCACCACTTGGCTCCCAGACGCTGGCAGCCACTGAAGGATTTTGCCCTGGGGATTCCATGAAAGGGCTGGGCCTCAGAGGAAGGCCATCGGGCAACAAGCCCGCCCACACACCCAGAGTCCCACTCTGCTTTTCTGTGCCCCCTCTTAACACCAGGCTGGCAGCCAAGGGTCACCAGACATTTGAGGAAACGCTTCACAAAAACAGACCAAAATGATCAATGTGGGGCAGGAGAAATCATTTGTAAGGAAGAGACAGTATAGAAAGCAGAAGAAAACTAAAGAAAAAAGAAACTGCCCACAAAATTATAAATAATATTCTCAGACCATAGAGAAGGCATCATCTCCATGATAAAAGAAGATCTATTTTAAAAAGAGGTAAGATTCACAGAGCCAGCCCTGGTGGTCTAGTGGTTAAGATTCAGTGCTCTTGCTGCTGCAGCTCGGGTTCGTTTCCTGGTCAGGGAGCCACACCACCCATCCGTCTGTTGTCATACTGTGGCAGCTGTGTGTTGCTGTGATGCTGAGAGCTATGCCACGGCTATTTCAAATACCAGCAGGGTCACCCATGCTTTCAGCAGAGCTTCCAGACTAAGACAGACGAGGAAGAAGGACCCAGTCACCCACTTCCGAAAAATATTGGCCATGAAAACCCTAAGAATAGCAGCAGAGCATTGTCTGATACAGAGCCGGAAGGTGAGAGGATGGCGCAAAAAGACCGGGCAGGGTTCCGCTCTGCTGTACACAGGGCTCTAGGAGTCGGAATCGACTCGACAGCACTAACATCAAAAGATTCAAAGAACAAGAAAGCGCTCTTCAGAGAAAAATCTTTGTAACTTTGAGTTAGGCAAAGATTATCTTAGATAAAATACCAAAAGCAAAATCCATAAAAGAACAAATTGATAAATTGGACTTCATCAAAATTAAAATTAAAAACATCTGCTCTTCAAAAGATACTATAAGGAGAGCGGCTCTGGTGGCCTAATGGTTAAAGTTCGGCACGCTCTGCTTTGGTGGCCTGGGTTCAGTTCCCATCTGGCAGTTGCCATGCTGTGGCAGTGGCTCACATAGAAGAACCAGAAGAACTTACAACTAGACACAACTACGTACTGGGACTCTGGGGAGGGAAAAAAAAAAAAAGAGAGAGGGAGATTGGCAACAGATGTTAGCTCAGGGCGAATCTTTCCCAGCAGGAAAAAAAAAAAAAAAAAAAGATACTGTAAGGAAATGAAAAGACAGCCACAGACTCAGAAAATTTTACAAACAACAAACCACCCAATAGAAAAATGTGCAAACAACTTGAACAAATATTTCGCCAAAAGTATACAGATGACAAATAAGCAGGCAAAAAGATGTTCAACATCATTAAAGAAATGTAAATTAAAACCACAATGAGATAAACCTATTCACACCTATTAGAATGGCTAAAATTTAACAGAATAAAATAAAAATACGAAACTGATAATACTAAGTATTGGTGAGGATAAGGAGCAACTGGAACTGCTGGTGGGAATGCAAAATGGCCTAGCCACATAGGAAATGGCTTGGCTTTTTCTTATAAAATTAAACATTCTTACCATACAACCCAGCAATCCCACCCCTAGGTATTTACCCAAGAGAAATGAAATGTTCACACACTAACCTGTATGTGAATGTTTATAGTGGCTTCCTTCACAGTCACCAAAAACTGGAGAACAACCTCAATATCTTTGAGCTAACAAACCATGATACATCCATTCAGTGGAAACTACTCAGCAACAGAAAGGAACCAACTACTCACACACACTACCAATCTCAAATGCATAAACCAAGTGAAGGAAACCAGCTCAAACGACTACACGGGGCATAATTCCATTTATACGACAATCTGGAAAAGGCAAAACTTTAGACAGAAAACAAAGCAATGGAGGGCCAGGCCCCATGGCCTAGTGGTTAAGTTTGGCATGCTCTGCTTCAGCCACCCAGGTTCGGTTCCCTAGCGCAGACCTACACCACTCATTTTTCAGTGACTATGCTGTGGCAGTGGCTCACATACAAAATACAGGAAGATTGGCAACAGATGTTAGGTCAGGGTGAATCTTCCTCAGCAAAAAAAAAAAAGAGGAAGATTGGCAGTGGATGTTAGCTCAGGGTGAATCTTCCTCGGGGGAAAAAAAAAAGAGAGAAAACAGACCAATGGTTAATGAAGGCTGGCGATGGAGAGGGACTGACTACAAAGGAGCAGGAGGAAATTTTGGAGGTGATGGAACCTCTGTTTTATATCTTGATTGTGGCAGTGGTTATGTCACTGTATGCATTTGTCAAAAGTCACAGAACTGTACACTAAAAAGAGTGAATTTTACTGTGTATTTAAGTTATACTTCAATAAACCTGACTAAAACAAACGAACCTAAAAAGAGCTCTTAGGAACTAACTTACGTTGGCAAATATTTTTAAAATTCAATAGAGGGTCCAAATGATAAAAGTAAGGAAACATCCCAGAAAGACAAAGAGAGCTGAACAATGGTAGAGAAAAGACAAGTCAATTAGAGGATCAATCCAGGATGTTCAACATCCAAATGACATGAATTCCAGAGAGAAAGAAAAGAAAACAACAGAGGGCAGGCAATTGTGAATAAATAATTCATGACCATTTTCCAGGCATGAAGAACGTGAGTGTCCACACTAAAGGATCCATTCACAATGAATGAAAGAGATCCGCACCAGTGCACATCACTGATAAGTTTCTAGAATGCCAGGGATCAAGAAATGATTCTGAAAACTCCCAAGAGGGGGAGGGGGATAGCTTCACATAAAGGATCAGTAATCAGAATGGTTCTGGACTTCTCTTCAGCAACATTGAGAGCTACCTAGAATTCTCTACCCAGGGCCGGCCCCATGGCTTAGCAGTTAAGTGCGCGCGCTCCGCTACTGGCGGTCCGGGTTCAGGTCCCGGGTGCGCACCGACACGCCGCTTGTCCAGCCATGCTGAGGCCGCATCCCACATACAGCAACTAGAAGGATGTGCAACTGTGACATACAACTATCTACTGGGGCTTTGGCAAAAAAAAAAAAAAAAAAAATTCTCCACCCAAATCATCAGTCAAGTGTAGGGGTAAAATAAAGACATTTTCTATCAACGCTTCTCTAAGGAAGCTACACCTCAGGATGTGCTCCACCAAAACAAGGGATTAATCAAGAAAGAGAAGACATAGGATCCAAGAAGAGAATTCCTAAGAGAACAGCTGGCAATAGTCCTAGAGCAAACAGTCCAGACTGAAGCCAGAGGGTGAAGGGTGCCAGAGTGGGGGGCACTCCATGATAACATGGGACTGATAACCACAGGCTGACCCTATTGAGAGAGTGTTTGAAGGTGAATTTGTGATAAGCATGTAGAAAGCTAAACAAATAAAATACAAGGCAATCGCTAACTTCAGGAAAGACAAAGATATGAAAGAAAATGTAATCATAATATATTTCAAGGCTCAGCAGTAACAATATTTACATAATCCTAATAGCATCAACACTGAGTATTGATTTAACCAAAATCTATTAGTCAGTTGTGCTGTAATCAGATCGGGGAGGAAGCACAGGCACACACACGAGGGTGATGGTAAAAGAGGTAAATCCTCATCTTCCACAGTAGCAGTCAGTAGTCACTGTCTATAACTTAAAAACAGGAAGGAAAGAGAGAGAGAGAGAGAGAAGTATAAGCATGTTACTTAGAATTAGCAAGTAAATAATGGAAGAAACAGCTACAACTATTAAAAGTGGTTGTCTCTGGGGATTGGAATCAGGGGGGCAGCTGGTGGTGTTTTTTCACTACAATTCATGAAAAACTACCTGTCTTTTTAACCTTTGTACACCTTATAGATTTTTGATTTTTTAAGAAAAAATTTTAAAGGTGAGGATTTACACTATGGATGCTACTCATCTAAGGAAGGTAGAGAGTTTGCAGTTTTAAACAGGTCTCTTCCCTTCACTGTCACACACAGACAATTTCCCGGTTGTCCCACAATCTAGAATCCAACATCTCAACGGTCTAAGCCAGAGAGGTAATATGCTATTCTCTTTTCTTAATATCGTCTTCACTTGTTCCTTCTCACAGACTTTTACCAAAGGTTGGAAAGTAAGAGAAGAGGATTATAGCAAACCTAGAACAGAGAAGTTGAAGGGCTGTCACCAGTCATCTTTCTTCATCCCAGCAGCCACCATGTTGCTGAGGTTTGTCTGTCCTCTCCATCTATAAACACCCTTCCCCTCCATCTCTCTGTTCAGTTCCTAGGGCCCCTTACCTCCTTTCTCCACTAGGGCAGTCACCTTAAACCTCTACTTTCCACTGAAGCGTTATCCAGAGTGATCTAGCTCTCATACCCCAATCATTTTCTTCCAGACTGTTCCCAGGGGACTTGGTCTTTCTCAACCAAAAAGTCATCAGGATGTCTCCTAAATAAAAGGGCTCCCCCAACCCATGATCTCCACCCCAAGCAACACAAAGAACTGGCAGAACTGAAACCACAGCTATTCTTAACTGGTCCTAGATCAAATTCTTAAGCAAAGAGTCACTCCCCATGAACAATATCCTAAAGCAGAAGGGAGAAAGTAGAAAAATTATTCTTTCTTGGTTGAGCGCGCACACACACACACACACACACACACACACACACACACCACCCTCCACACCCACACCAAATGCTATTCTTATGTATGTCCAGGAAACAGAAATTACGGTGAGGAGGTCTATTTAGGGTTTAATCCTTCGCTTTCACTCAGTAAGTTCTTCCGAGTCTGACTGAATTACCCCATTTCCTCCAATCCATTCTTTGTGGAAACCAAAAACACTCACAATAATGCAGCGATGTGATCTCAAGTCTCACTTTCCCGGGCACCTTCCCTGTCCAGCCCACCATTTGGTATCTGTTCTGTTTCCCACCTGCAGGTTCTGTCTCCCCTCTGAGGCTGTGAGCACCCTGCATGGTGCCAAGCAGTTACAGGTTTCACAAACGGACTCATGAATGGACTGAAAACCCCCGGCTCTCCCAGCTTTGCTCCCTCTAAGGAAAAGAGCCCCCAACTCCCCAACATGTTACTCAGGCGCCCCGTCTCTGGCCCAGCCACTCACCCTGGGCTCACCCTGAGCTGCAAAGCGGGTGCGCAGGACGTCCACAGGATGCACGGCGAGGGTGGCCACGCAGGCGGATAGGCCGCCACACACAAAGTGCACCGAGAAGTCACGGGCATCGTGCACACTGGCTCTGTGCACCAGCTCAGTCAGCAGTTCAAATGACAAAAACTGCAAGAGTGTGTGACAAAGTCATTGACAAACACCCCCAAATACACCACCCGCGACCCAGGTGGGGCCCAGTCCTAGGGACGAAAATCTTCTTGAGCAGTGACAAAATATAATAAACATATAATTTTGTGCAAAGGTCAGATGTCATTTTATACTCTATTTGAGTACAACCAAATACCCAAAGGGTTAAGAAAAATATATAAGAAAAATTCTATATCAGAAAGTTCTACTCATTAACTTCGTTTCCTGAGAACTGGGAAAAGATGGCCACCATCCGATTCTCGGCAGGGGACCCCCTCCATGCAGCTGGCAATGGCAATGTCTGAGAAACATTCTGCCCTGGGGCAGAAATTCTGTCAGGAGAATTCCACATATTCCATATTCCATGGTGTAAGCCCCCTTAGGCTCAGATCTTCCTCCAGCCAACTCATGACAGCTTGGGGTCCCGAGAGCACATGTTGCTGTATTTAGCCATCAGGCTGCAGTAGCCGTGTGCCAGGTGCAGAGATGGAACGGCAGCGGCACGTCAACCCGGTGCGCCTCTGACCTGGGCAATTGCTGTGATTCATAGGAGGAGCAAGCAGCAACTAGTCGGGTGCCAGCTGCCCAGGTGGGAATCCTGGCTCTGCCACTTTCTAGCTAGTGACTTTGGTTGGGTTAATTACTTAAGCTCTCTCTGCCTCAGTCTTCTCATCTGTAAAATAGGAGCGACAACAGATCCTACCTCAAAAGACTGCTGTGAGGTAATACATGTAAAGTGCTTAAAACAGGGCCCAGCCCACAATTAGTGCTGTACAAGGGCCGGCTAGCACCACTCCTACCACCGTACAGCCTTATACTATACACCACGGAATAAGCTGGTGCTCTGCTGAACGAATGAGTGAACGACAGTCAAGAAGCTTCGATTCTAACCCTAGCCCCACCACTTACAGGCTGTGGGGCCTGTAAGCTCACTCAACCTCTCTGTGATCCACACAACACCTGCTCTACGTTCCTCACGATGCTGTTGGGAAGTTCAAAGGAAGCACAGATGTGAAAACGCTCTTTTGAAAAATGACAAGCATTTGTGTCGCCATTTGCCAAGACCCATTAGGGGCATGGTGTCAAGACAGTCTCCTAGTGCAACACCTAATATTCAGTCGGTGCTAAGTCCCTGGGGCTGGGGTGACGTGGGGAAGGGAAGCCCTACGGTACAGATGTCTGACTGTGTCTTCAATTTGTCAGGTAGGTTTCCAGTTAAGACAAGTGACAAGTGTGGTGACTGCTGCCTGCTGCCCTACCCCAGGCAGCGTCGCTGTGTGCCCCACCCTACCTGTGCTCCTCCATTGAGCAACACCCCCCCACCCCCCGGGGTCTGGCCAGTTCCCCTGCCACCTACTTGGACAGCTCCATAGCCTATGGAGAGAAGCTGGGCTGGGATGTGTCCTTTCCAGAATGCTGTTGGGCCCTCCTCCTGCAAAATCTGTCTCCCGGCCTGGAGGATCCCGTGGTATTTTGCATTGGGGTCACTACAAGACAGGCGCTCAATCTGAAGCTAGGAATCAAAATTGAAAAGGTCAGGACAATAGGGGGAGGGGTGGGGTGAGAAGGAGAAATTTCAGAAAAGGTAACGAAGGCAGCGAAGAGCTTCTCCTTGACAAAATTTCAAGCTCTAGGAACTGCTTTGGCAAGAGTCCATTATGTGTAAAAAGGGTGAAGAGTACCTGGAAACGGATCTTAATGATGTCCAAGGGGCTGATCAATGCCCGAGTGACAAGTCCAGACACAGACCCAGCCACTGCCACCTCGAAATTGGAGATATTCCTGCCATCTGCTTTGGGGTCATAGCCGACCATCCCTGCCTCTGGCCCATACAATGTCCATCAGCTTCAAGCTAAATCAAGAGACATGGAGTCAACACCTGAGCAAGTTCTTAGGGTCTCTGTTCACACATCACCTCCTCAGAGGAGCCCTCCCTGACCAGCCAATCTAAAACAGCGCCCACATCACTTTTCATCCCCTCCCCCTGCTTTATTCTTCTTTATAGCATTTATATACTGGACATTTATTCTGTACATCTGTTTCTTGTCTCTCTCCCCCACTAGAATGTGAGCCCATAAAAAACACGGCCTTGGTCTCATTTGTCCATCCCTGTATTTCCAGTGCCTGAAACAGAGCCCACCATAGTAAGTGCTCATAATATTTGTTGACTGACTGAATGAACAGGCTTAGCAGGAAATCATTCACTTCCAGAGATCAACTGGCTTTCCAGGATGCCTGGTTTTATGGCAAACTTCTGCCTAAGGTAGAGTCCCAGGCTGTGTTAGCATAAGAGCAGAGCCCACTCAAGCTGCGCGCTGAGGGGAACTGTCAGACATGCTGGCTCCAGGAACAGGGCCTGAGATTCTCTAACAAGCTCATGTGATCCAAAGGAAGAGCCCAGTGACCCCTGAGCCATTTTGCATTTCCCTTCCCCATTCTTTGCACACACCTCCGGCCCACCCACAGCAGTGGAGCCACGTTATGCTATGAAATGATGCTCCCAGCCCACCTGGTCCCTGCTGACCTCTTCAACCTCACCTGGACCACTCTTCAGTCTCTTCAACCAGGGTGGGCTCAGGGCTTCTGACCAGTTCCTAGAAAACGCTGCTCGCGTTCCTATGTACGGGCCTAGCCTCTGCAATTCCTGTTCCGCGTGTCTGAAATGCAGCCCCACTCCCACTCCCCTCGCTCTTCCCAAGGCTAGCTCCTCTCATCCACCAGGGCTCAGCATCTCCAGAACACGTACTTACGTCCTTTCTAGCATTCACAGCACTTGCTAATGTGTATTCTGTCCTCTCAGCCCACAGGAGGTAGGCTCCATATGGGCCGGGACTCAGCCCAGTTACAGCCGTATCTCCAGAGATCAGCACAGTGCCTGGCACACCCCAAAGGCTCTAAAAACAATGAATGAACAAATGATTATAAGCCACGTAACTTTTGGATTATAGAAGTAATACTGACCTTGCAGAAAGAGAGAGGGGGAAAAAACCCCAACATCTTAACACTTTTCATATATTCCCTTCTGTTTTTTTTCCTGTACAGGGCTTTTAAAATGCAGAATATCATAAGCGTGATTCCATGTTGCTACAAGATCTTCATAAATATCATTTTTAATGGATAAATAATATTTCATTGAGTAGCTGTGTCATAATTTGTTGGGCACTGGGGTTTTAAAAATATATATATTTATTTAAAAATATCTAATTCCATTTTTATCTAGAGCAGAGTTTCTCAACCTCAGCACTGTTGACATTTTAGAATGGATAGCTCTTTGCAGTTGGGGGCTGTCCTGTACATTGCAGGATGTTTAGCAGCACCCATGGTCTCTACCTACTAGATGCCAGTAACACCACACTGCCCTTGTGACAACCAAAAATGTCTCCAGACATTGACAAATGCCCCCTGGTGTGCAGAACTGCCCCTGGTTGAGAACCACTGTTCTAGGGCTGACCCCGCGGCTTAGCAGTTAAGTGTGCGCGCTCCACTACTGGCAGCCCGGGTTCGGATCCCGGGCACGTACCAATGCACCACTTCTCTGGCCATGCTGAGGCCGTGTCCCACATACAGCAACTAGAAGGATCTGCAACTATGACATACAACTATCTACTGGGGCTTTGGGGGGAAAAAAAAAAAAAGGAGGAGGATTGGCAATAGATGTTAGCTCAGAGCCGGTCTTCCTCAGCAAAAAGAGGAGGATTAGCATGGATGTTAGCTCAGGGCTGATCTTCCTCACAAAAAAAAAAAAAAAAAAAAAAAGAGAACCACTGTTCTAGAGAAATACTAGCATGGGTGTGTAAAATGTCACTCATTGCATCCCTGTTTGTAAAACTGCATATAATGCAAATGCTTATCAACAGAGGGATAGGTAAATATACTAAGTCACATCCAGGCAATGGAATACTATGCAGCCATTAAAAACAATGAGCCACATTCAGATAATGATAGTGGCATCTGGAAGAGCCCTGAGTCCTATCTGTACTTTCCCCAGCATAGCTCCAGGAGGCGCTCTCCAAATAGGAGCCTGCTGCCTCCAGGTGCCGTCTGTGGCTCTGCCTGCCCCAAACCCTACGACCTTCCTGGAGAGAAGATGGTAGCCACAAAAGTAAAAGGTGAGAAACTGGATGAGGAGCTGAAAAAAATGGAGCAAAACAAGACAGCAACCACTAGGTACCGCCAGAAGAAGAAGGCAGTGCAGGAGGCCCTCACTGGTGAGTGTAAGGAGCTAGAAAAGAAGAACAAGGCTCTGAAAGAGAGGGCAGATTCCCTGGCCATGGAGATCCAGTATCTGAAAGATTTGATAGAAGTCCAAAAGGCGAGGGTCAAGAAAAGGGTCCCCTAGTTAGGGAAGTCAGGAGTATGTGTGCTTGTACATAGGAGGCTTGCGCTGAAGCTTGTGTGCCGCAATAAATTATTTTGTAGTGAAAGTAAGAAAAAAAAGAATGAGCCAGAGCTATACACACACCTGAAAAGATATCCATAATAGACTGAAACATGAAAAAAAGCAGGTTTCAGAACAGTATGTCTAGTATAACCCCATTTTTGCAAAAGAAAAACAGTAAGACCTACATACACCCTGTACAGTTGTATAAAGCAAAGAGGAAGTCTGTAACAACACACACACACCAACAGGTTGGTAAGGTTACCACCAACAGGTCGGTTAGGTTGGGGGAAGGGTTGGCAAGGGAAGAGAGTAGGTAGATCTCTTCCTTTTTCTTTAGACAATTCTATATTGTTCGAATTTCTTATGGCCCCCAAAAACCCCAACTAAAACTAAATATAAAATGATTTTAGAAGGGACCTCAGAACTAACCTAGTTCCTGAATACCTTTAGTAACAGGGAAGTCAGTGCCCATACAGGACAACCTCTGCCCCACCACTGATTCCTCTTCTCCTCTCACCCACCCTGGGACTCTGTCTGAAACACTCCCTCAGCCCCAAGCCCTCACATTTCTGAAAGTACCAAAGTAGTGCTTCAAAACACCCTTAAAATTAACAAGACATTTCCATGGGGCTCTATCAGCAAAGTGTTCTAAAATAATATTTTATTGAAAGTCTAATGGTATGAAACCTCCCGACCCCTGCCAGGAATGTGCCCATCTCTTGGTACCTTCTCGCCGTACTCTCAAAGGAAGAGCCCTGCCTTTCCCACCAACTTCTTTGTGTCATTAGCTCAAGCTGCTTCTCCCCAGGCACCAGTGAGGAGCAGTTTAAACATGGGGGCAGGTGATCAAAAGGCAGAGCCTCTCCTAAAGTTACCCAGGGACTGCTCAGGTCACACTGCGCAGTGTCAGTTTCCTGCCTGTGGGGGGAAGGAGGCATTTCTATAAATAAGCAGCTTTGCACAGCTGGAAATAACCTTGGCCCTCAGATCAAGAAGCCTGAGTTCAAGTGCTGCCTGTCCCATGTACTTTGGGCAGGTTTACTTAACCTAGGCTCAGTTTTCTCTTCTGGAAAATGGGAATGATGTCTGCCTTGCCTAGCCCAGATTGCTGGGAGGATCATGCAAGATACCATATACGATAAGTTTTGTAAAAAAGGTAAAAGTCTTATACACATAAAGGGCTGGTTAAATATAGTCCAACGGTGGCCTTACTTTTTCTGCTTGTTCAAAATTTCCTTCTCCTACCAATAAGCCTTGATATTTATCTAAAAAGACAAAATAAAAATGAAACACGATTATATACATGATATATATAATACAGCACCCAGAAAATGGGGATCCGTTGGTGTGAGGGGCAGGGCGGGTGGGGTGTGTGTGAATTTGCCTTCGCCCCTCCCCTTCTCTTATTGCGGAAGCCGCTGGTGCTCGGGTATGCAGGTGCCCCGCGGTGAGCGTTTGTGCCCATGTGTTCAGCTGAGGGTCTCTGCAGATGTCCCCGCGTGAGGACACAGGTGTCAGGTGTGCCTCAAGGCGTGTGTTTCTCCCCGAGTCCGAGAAGACGCCCGAGAGCTGGGCACCCGCGCACACAGGTGCCCCGGGTGTGTGCGGGGTTTTGCCTCCTGCGTCCCTGAGATGCTTCTAAGGTCAGGCGTGACACGTGTGAGTACAGTCCCTGCCCCCGTGTGAGTACCTGTGCCTGTGTGCTCCCCCCGGGAGCGAGGGTGCAAGTTCCCGAGCTGACGGCGAGCAGACTGGAGGTAGAGGTCATTCACCGAGCTCGTAGGGCGCGGCCCCTCTCCCCGCGTTTGCTCCCTCCCTCCTCACGCAGTCTAACAGTAAAACTCAACTGCGCTCTGCAGTAACTGACGGGCTCCTGAGCCAATCACCGCGCAGCTTCCGACAGACGCTGGGCCAATGGTTGTACACTCGGTACCCGGCCAACGCCTCCCGCAAGGTGTCTCTGGGTAATGTAGTCGCCGCTACCAAGGCTGTCCCCCTGCGAGGCGCAGAGCCTCCTGGGAAATGTAGGTTCACTACGCGCGCGTGCGTAGATGTTACCCACGTGTCGGAAGGAGGCGGGTCCCGAATTCAGGCTGCGCGCTTGTAAGTCGCCCCGCTAAGTGGCGTGTGACTCGGCTCAGCCAGCGGGCGGGTGGAAGGGGAACTTGACTCGCTTTCCTCAAAACCCTCGAAGTCCCGGAACCCGGATAATCTAAACTTGGAAAAGATGGGGAGAAGCTTAGCAAAAACCTGGAGGGTGTGGGGGACAGAATAGATGAGTTTTTAAGGCCCGGACGAGGACGGCAAAAACATAGAGGTTTTGTTTCCCTCTAGGGTTTATTATGCATAATTTCTCATTATAAAAATATAGAGACACATTACAGAAAATGTAGAAATGAAGGGGGAAATGACTCATCCTACCGCTCTCACGCAAGTGGCATCAGCGTTTTGGAGGACAGTATTTCTTCCTGATTTCTTAATTGCAGTTTTCACACTAGTGCAATCATTTTGACGCACAATTTAAAAACATGTTTACTGCACAATTTAAAAACATTTCATATATATACAAAAGCAGAATAATCTAATGAACCACCATATAGTCATTACTCAACTTCAACAATTAACCAACTCGTGGTCAGTTTTGTTTCCTTTATACCTGCACCTACGTCGCTCCCCACGACATTTTGAAGTAAATACCAGACATCAGTGATTTCACCAGTAAACACTTTAGAATGTGTCTTTAAAAGACAAGCATTCCCCTTTTAAAACATGTCCCCCAAACTATCACGTGCCCCCCCAAATCAACAAACAATAATTTCCTATCATCAAATATCGAATTAGTTACAGTTCTCTGATTGACCTATAAATTTCATTTTTAAAAAGTTTGTCTGAATTGAGATCCAAGCCTTACTTTGCAGCTGGTTATTTCAAGTCATTTTAAATCTATGGTCCCTCTTCCTCTCTTTTTCACTTGCAATTTCTTTCATTTTTTTTCCTTCCTTTTCTCTATTTTATTTGTTTTTTAAGAAACTAGTTGGTTTATCCTGTAGAGTTTTCCTTAGTCTGGTTCTTGCTGGTGGCATCCCCATGGTGGTGTTTTAACATCTTCCTCTGTCTCCTGTGTTCCTTCTGCATATTGGTAGTTAGATCTAAAATGTCTGATTAGATAAGGATTGATTTTTTTTTTGACAAGACTATGTACATGGCACTGTGTACTTCCATGAGGAGATTCATAATGCCTTCTTGTCTCTCATTTTGTGATATTTGCAGCCATTGATGATCATTGTATTGATTAGGGTTTGTAAATAGTGATATCATTTCAGCATTTATTAGCTGGACTACCTGTGAAGAGGAACATCCCTTCACTGGCTAATTGATTGTGTGAGGTACACTTCATATAAGAAAGGCAGGATAAATGCGTGATTCTTTACCTTTAGCAGTTTTCAAAATAATTACTTGGTTCCTTAGTATCTTCCAAAGGTTAT